GTTTCCAGTTTAATGGCTATCTTTCGCGATGTCTTCGCCTCAACGTTAATGATATCCATCTGTTTGTCTTCGGCAGCCCTGAGTTTGTCCAACAGCTCCTTCTGGTCGGTCTGCTGTTTGACCAACTCATCGATCTTCGCGTCCTTTTCCTCCAACAGTTGCCGGAAAGAAGCGATCCGTTTGTCAATCAATTCCAAGTCGAAGGACTCGTTCTCGACGAGTGTCTCGCTCTCCATAATGCGGGCGTCGATTAAAGTCATCTCCAATTCATTCTTCCTCTGAACCAAATTCTTATCCAATTCGGACTCCAGTGACGACTTCTCGTCGGCGTATATATTCCGCCGCTCGCAGAGGTCCGAGTGCTTCGCCGATAGGCTCTCAATTTCCTTCAAAATGGTCGATAACTCCCGCTCTTCATCGCTGGTCAACTGCGAGTCCAATGTCTTGAACTCGAGTTCGCTCTCAAACGACTCTTTGTTGGCTCTCATCGACGGCAGAGTGGACTCCAGTGACGCTATACTGCGGGCAATGGACTCCTGTTTGGTCCTCAACGCCACCAACTGTTGATGCATTTTGTCCTTTGAGTTCTTCAGATTGTCGAACTCACGCTTCGTGTTGTTGTGCTTTATGTCCAATTCGGTCATCAAATTCGAGTTGAGAATCAATTGCTTCTCGTTGTCCTCCCGTCGGCCCAAACATTGGACCATTTCTTGCCGAATGGCATCGATTCGGGACAAAATAGACTTCCATTTGAGAAAATTTTCGACCCGAGTGTCCACTCCATAGTAGCCGCCAGTCATGTATCCCTTAGATGAGATGAAATCGCCGTCAATTGTCACGCAATCGAGTTTAGCGCTGCGCGAGAAAGTGGTGGCCAACTCGAGCGTACGGCACACCAGTGTTCGGTCGAATAGGAATTTCATCACTTTCTCGTACTTCTGGTCAAACTTCAATAGACTAGTGAGCGGTCGGGCGTCGTTCTGGTGGTCATCAGTACAACAGTTTATGTCATATGTCCGGTAATAATGGCTTAAATGTATGGCATTACCTGAAACTGCGGGTATTTGATTGGTTTCAATTGGAGTTTATTAATGGCAATGAAACAGATGTCTCCCGGAAGTTGTCGCTCATTCACTTCGGCGATGATTTTTGTGCCGATTTTGTCGTTTTCGATGATGTGATAGAAGAGTTTGCTTTTTGTGGTCACTTCGACCACTTTGTTGAGATTCGGGTCGAATGAGAAACAGTCGATCACTTGACCCAAATAGCCGTCAATAATAGGCCGGAGCTGTGCTTCTGCGGCGTCCGATCTGTCGGCCCTCTCTTCGAATGACTTCAACACTTGGGCCACACTTTCTCTGCCGACTGTCGCCGAAGAGCCCGACATTCTCTTCAGCTTTGACTCAATCTTCTGCTTGTCTTCGTTGTGTTTAAACTCTTTTGCCTTCAATTCGTTGTCCAATTCCCAGAATTCGCTGCAAAAAAACAATTCATTTTTAATTAAATACAAAATAAGTCACTTTTAAACACAATTACCGTCGCTTTGATTCCAATTGTTTGCCTAATTTACTGCTTTCGCACAACTCTTGTCTTTCGCTTTGAAGGCTTATAAATAGATTTTTTTCTTTGGTTCCGAATGACTGTTTGAAATGAAATAACAAAATGCAAATCAATATGCAATTTGGTGTTTAAAGTATTGGCCAAACCTTTTGCTGTTCCGACAACTGATCAATTTGGGCGGTCGTCTCGTACTCTTCGTCCTTCAAAACCTTCACTCGTCGAGTGTTTGTCTCGATTTGTCCCTTAAGAGCAGTCAATTCCGATTGAATCCACTTATCCCTGTCCTCAACGGTGCGGAAGTTCTCCTTTCGCTTCTGTTTGGAATAGATCTCCACTTTGCGGCTCTGTTTGGCCTTCAGTTTGCAGACCAAATCGTTTTCCTTTTTGCGCAAATTGTCGTACTTTGCGGTCACAAAAACCAATCGCTTCTTCTTCTTGTCGATCTCATTCCTCACTTCCAACAGCTCTTGTTTGGCGTTCAATTCGCTCTCTTTGTTATAATCGAGACTCTCTTTAAAATCATTGATTTTGGACTCAATTCTGGCCTTCTGTTCGTCCAATTCGTTCATCTGTTTAGTGATTTGCTTCAAATCTTTGCGGTGATCGTCGAGTATACCGCATATCAACTTCAACTTCTTGTCGCACACTTTGCACTTCTGCTGGAAGTCCTCCAGACGTTTCCTCTTCTCTTCCAACACCTGATTCTCATTCTCTTGTCTTCGTTCGAGTTTTAAGATCTCGTTTTTACTCACTTCCGACTCCTTATTGGCGATGATATACTCGAGAAGACGCCGGCGTTTATCCCATTTCAGCCATTTCTCCAAATCGTTGCTTTCGGTCTGCAGTGACGTCAACCTCTCGTCCAACGAATTCAGACAGTCGTCCATCTGATCCACGCGTTGGGCCGCTTCGGCCAACAGTTTGACGGCTTCGCACTTACGGGTGTCGTATATGCGAGTGCCGGCCACCTCTCGCATCACCTGAAGCCGGTACTCGTCCGACGCGGTCGCCATTTCGTTCACTTTGCCTGCCATTCAACCCGTCATATAATGGGATCAGATTCAGGTGACAGACATCAAGACATTGAAACGTATGGATGGATGGATACCTTGTTTGATGATATAGTAAGGGTTGGATCGGCTGAAGCCGGCGGTCTCCAGCATATTAACGATGTCTGAATGCGTGACAATCTTGTTGTTCATGAAGTACTGGTCTTTCTTGAGCCCAATCTGGCGCCTGAAGGCGATGTCGTTGACGTCCAATGGTATGCGTCGGTCGCTGTTGTCGACCACAATCTCGACAAACGCCAGAAGAAGTCGTTGCGAATGGCTTTCGTTAATGAGTTGTTGCCTCTGATTGGCGTTCAGACCATTGAATTCGTCGCTTAAGACAAATTGGATGGCATTCAAGACATTGCTTTTGCCGCAACCGTTGCCACCGATTATCACGTTATGGCGCGCAGAGAGACCTGAGATGGTATTGGTCTCGCGATACGACCGAAACCCACTGATTGTGATCTAAGAGACAATTACAAGATTAGTGGATCAGTTATGGGTGACTCTCCAAGAAGTAGTGATCAATACATACTTTTTTGATATACATTTGTGTTTGAAATGCAATCAAAACATTAATTACTCATTCAATTGAATGACAATTGAGTGACAAATGAATGAATCGTTTGTTTCAATCATTCAATCGTTTTTTTACTGATTTTTTGCGCCAAAATGTGTGTAACGTTTATAGCGTTTAGTGTTTACTATATATGGGAAGGTTTGGGCAAAATTGCGGGAATATTGGGAATATTGATAAATAATATGTGAAATCATTTAATGTTCTACTTTAATGGCGATCAAATATAGTCCAATTTATGTTAATTGTGTTATTTAGTAATCTACTAAACTATTTACAATGATTTTTAATAATGTTAATTAAATTTGCAATATTGCGGTAACATTGTGTGTAAATTATAGTTATGTTTATCCGTTTTACGCATAGATTTGGGTTACAGTTTGTATAATCACTTGAAAAAAACTTTTTCAATAATTATTTTAAAATTGATTTCCGATTTAAACACATTTAAAATACATATTAAAATCATTTATTGCAATAAACTTTATATACAGTATTCATCAAAGATTACAATTTAAAAAATAATTTTCCGCAATTAAAACGACTAATGAAATACTTCTATACTTTTGCATACA